CTTCATACTGCCTCCTTGGAACCTACTTCCGTAAAACAAGCAATGGCCATTCCTTAATGGAAAGCCGCTATGCACACTGAGCTTTCTGCACTTCATGCAAATAATACTTGGTCTCTTGTTCCTGCTTCTTCATCTCATAAAGTAATTGGCTGTAAATGGGTTTATAAACTCACGTTGAAGCTTGATGGGACCATTGAATGTCATAAGGCTAGGTTAGTTGCTAAGGGGTTTCATCAAACACGTGGCCTTGACTACACTGAGACGTTTAGCCCAGTTGTTAAGCCTAATACAGTGCGGCTTGTTATCAGTCTTGCCCTCTCATGGAATTGGCCTATACGACAACTTGACGTTCACAATGCCGTTCTTAATGGTGACCTAAATGAGGAGGTGTTTGTGGAGCAACCCCCAGGGTTTCATGTGCCTTCTTCTGTCCCATTGGTTTGCAAGCTTCATAAGGCGCTATATGGCCTTAAACAATCTCCGCGTGCTTGGCTCACAAAGCTCAGTTCTTGTCTCTTACAATGGGGTTTTCACGCTTTCCAAGGCAGATACATCTTTGTTCTTTCTTCATACTACACCTGTACATCTCATTATGCTCGAATATGTTGATGACATAATTGTCACGAGCAACAGTTCTGTTTTCTTGGGGTAGCTCATTCACAAACTCAACTCCATCTTCGCTCTTAAATTTCTTAGGCATCGAGGTTCATCGCACTAATCAAGGATTACATCTCAGCCAGTCCAAGTACATTACGGATATTCTCATAAGGTCTGAAATGCTTGATTGCAAACCATATCATACCCCTATGTCCTCTGGTCCCATGCTTTCTCTTTACGAAGGACAACCTCTAGCAGATCCTTCAGACTACCGAAGTATTGTTGGTGCTCTTCAGTACTACACATTAACTCAGCCTGATATTAGTTTCTCGGTTAACAAGGTGTGCCAATTCTTACATTCTCCTACAACAAACCATTGGCAAGCAGTAAAACGAATTTTGCACTATCTCAAGGCCACTGTTTCCTACGGACTCACTTTACAAGCATCGCCTGATCTTTCTCTTACATGTTACACTGATGCGGATTGGGCAAGCTGCCCGGATGATAGGCGTAGTACTGGAGGATATTGCATCTTTCTTGGACTCAACTTAGTCTCTTGGTCCTCAACTAAACAACGGGTTGTATCGAGACCTAGAACCGGGTCAGAATACCGAGCAATTGCAAATGGCGCCTCTGAACTTTTCTGGCTGGAATCTATTCTAGCAGAGCTTTATGTGTCCTTGCCCTCTCCTCCCATATTGTTTTGTGATAATCTTAGTGCCACTTACCTCGCCACTTATCCCGTTCTTCATGCTCGTACCAAGCACGTTGAAATTGATCATCACTTCATCTGAGACAAGGTTATGCAGCTCTCATTAGTTGTCCAGCATGTTCCTTCAGAAGATCAATTAGCTGATGTCCTAACTAAGGCCTTACCGTCACAACGGTTTCTGAATCTGCGTGGCAAGCTCAATCTCCTTCCACGGCCAATGAGCTTGAGGGTTGATGTTAGAACAATTGAGGGTGTATAATTATTTTACTCTGTACAGCATTATAGCCTAGCTTTATTTTCCTCTGATAAGTTAGTTATTCTCTCCAATTGTCATTTGTACTGTAGTTCCATTTTCTTGACACGTGTATAGGTTAGTGCTAGCCCTCATTGTATATAAACTATTTTTCTCAGTAAAGATACTTAGTGGACTGAGCATTTCTTCCTCCACCGTTTGCCTCTTCTTCTCTCTGAAAAACCTTCTAAAATCTGATTATAACAGTGTGAAGACACAAAATAAATGGTCATGTTAACTTCTAGTTGAACACTTGTGTGATGCACAAATGCTTATCAGATTATCACTCATCTGAAATCAAGGGACAAAATTCACAACTACCTAACCGTGTGATTAACTGATAACAAAGCAAAAGGATTTTAGTTATGTTGTGTGACATGGGAAGAGAAACTGTTTTCAGATCGCTTTGATTCAACACACCTCCCTCAATTTGCGCTTTGGATATGCTCTCTCGGCCTTGAATATTTCCAAAGCCTCATCAACTCCAGCAGTTTTCCCTTCCCAAATAACATCCTACAAAATGTAACGGTAAAAATGACATCAGAAGCCTGCTTATCTTCTATTTGGGTACGGTCAACAGTGTGTATCAAATTATCAGCACTTAGCGAAATATGCGCTGCTAAGAAAAGCTTTCTTCTTTTTCATAAGACAACTCAATCAACAACGTCTGTGCACGGAATAAAGTAGGCAATTTAAAGCCGCTACCCACTACTGAAGAAACTACACAATCAGAAAAAGTTCAGTAGAGTGCAAGAACATTTGTCATACAAGGCTGGCCATACATGAGAATTTGCTTCGGGCATGAACATGCAGAAACCACACTCATGGCCTAGAACAGCCAGACCACCAGCTTGTTGGCAGCCAGTGATGTACAAATAATCGGCATCTTGTCGAAATGTGTAAGGCACGACATCCGTCATCATCTTTACAGGGGCAGCTGCAATGATAGCCAAGCCCTTCTCTGGAAGAAGCTCCAAGAAATTTTTCCTCCTCAAAACATATTCTTCAGAACTTATACCTGGCGTAAGCTCCCCTCCTTTCAATAACTGGAAAGGAAATAGCACCATAGTTACAACAAAACGAATATAAGCTAGGTTTTTTTTTTT